GCAACTGTAACTGCATACCCAGCGCAATGACTATACCCCATTGCACTGAGCTGTGACTGCTTCCCTATAAATTACCCTAAATCCTAGGTGGAACACTAGTTTCAAAAATTAAAAATTTTCGAAATTTCCGTGCTGTACTTTCTCAGCTCGCAATACTCGTGGGAAAAATTAAAGAACAATATTTAACAGAAACTTCACTCCCGGACCAAGGCTATACATCAGACGTCAGTCCGACTTTGTCAGCAGTCTGCAGGGCGATTGCAGTCTGCGGCAGAGCCATTGGACACGCGCAAGGAGACGTAGCGGTATAGTCCGAAGCAATTGCACCCCCAAATCTGTCTGCTTAGCAAAAGCTCCACATTAGTATTTAGTCGAATTTTCGTCGAGTTCAGCTGTTAACGACGTGGGGTCCGAAGTATTTTCGGTTTAAGACACTGATAGCACGCTTTTCTTGGGCTCTGTTAGTGTGTGCTCTACAGCGCGAGTGCTAACCGAAGTCGACACAGTAGTGCAAGCGGTAAATCTAAATACCACTTCAGGCTTCATTCATTTCACTGCCAGAGAAAGCAATGTTTTCCTGACAGCGCAATACCTGTTTTCACTTTGACGAAACGTAAGCTTTCGTGCTGGCAAAACGGTTACACAGATGCTTATACATGAGTATAAGCAAAGGAGTCTAATAACGGAATAAGTATGCGAGATTCTGAACCATCTACTTAAAGTGCATACATAAGTCCTCAGAAGGCCATTACTGTACCCGTTACAACAAGGGAAAAATCAGCCCTTAGTTCGGTCACACTGGGTGGTACAATTTTTGAATACCCTGATGCCGCCAAGTGTCTATGGAACAGGCTAGATAAGAAATTTGATAGGAACTACCATCTTGAGAGAATTATTCCTAAAGCCACACTGGGCATGGCATGGAATGTTGAATTGGAGTTTTTGGAAGAAAGTGGGGTCAGAAATCAAGGCTGGTATAGCTGGATAGGTGGTCCATCGGAGAATGTCTTATGCATCCGTAGTATGATGGCAGAAGACACTAATAAAAATATGCCTTTAAAAGCTCTCGCAATATTGCGAAGTGCTAAAGCTGGGATCACACGATTTGTACATTTATACAGATTTGTCCATTTTCACCGTTACGGATTGTTTGGAAAGTTGTTATTGAGCTGATCTCATTCTATTTAAAAGTTTCTAGACAACACCACTCTGTGACTGCCAAATGTACAAATATATAAATCGTGTGATCTTTACTTAATAGAGCGATTTCCATATTTTCAAGTGAACTCTTAATTATTGAGTACAAAGAATGTCGAGCCGTTTCCGTGGTTCTAACTTTACAGTTTGTTAAATGGCAATTAGATGCAATTTTTAATTGAAATATTTTTGAATAGCTGGCATTTAGTTTTGATAAGCTTTTTATTTAATTGTATGGCCAAGTTTAACTGTTATTACTGGACTAAAAAATCCGCGTTTAACGTTTATTTTATTTAAAATAAACAGAAAACCCGAAAAAATAATTTCTTTCTAATGACTTGTACAATATATGTTATAAAGCTCCGAATCCCTTCTTTAATCTGTGCGCCTCCATATAAAACTTGAAACAGCTTCTCCCGCACAAGGTGTGTAGGTGGGAACTGATTTAAGCATACAAAAACCTAGTACTTACGTCCTAGCTAACTGGATAGAAATATCCAGCAGCAATTCACCGACCGTAGCCAATTCATCCGCCTTCCAATCGCCCTTCGGTTGCGCCACATCTAAAATTGTGAATTAATTTTACTTTAGCTATTTATTGTGGGAGATGTGGGAGATCATTAGTTACTTATTTATATAGCATGTAAGTAGTACTCACGTATT